AAAAAAAAAAAAAAAAAGAAAGAGGTGGACATTAGAGTCAGGGTGTTGAGGAATGATTAGGAGTTTGCCCGATGGAGAAGGTATGGAAGAACACGTTAGGAGAAATTATGGCCTGGGGATGGGGTGAGGCAGGGAGCAGGGAAGAGGCTGGAGCAGAGGACTCTAGACCTGGAGGCCAAGCTGAGAAACCCTGCTGGCCTCCAAGATGTGATTAATCCCAGATCAGCCTGGCTGGGTGGTCCTGAACTTACTGCCACATATTCCTGCTCTCTCCAGACCCACCCCCCAACCCCCTCGCTTCTGGGAGGACGACATACTTCAAAAAATGCCTGGCCTGGGTATGAGGTGGCCTAGAACTCTCCTCCTCCCCCCACTTCCGTTCCCACTTGCATGAAGCAAGTGGCAGAGTGTTTCCAGATGTGGTGTGGGCCAGCTGCGTGGGAGATGCCCAGGTGCGGCCCACATGCCCTGGCAGGGACTAAGTTGGGCCGGGTTATCCTCTTGGGGCGTCTCTGATCACCCATAAGGTAGGGTCCCCCATCAGCTCCACTTTATGCACAGGGAAACTGAGGATGGGGGATAAACTCGAGACTTGGTATTCAGGGGCCCCTTCCAGACCCACAAGCAACAGACCTTGGTGACCTGGCTGGAGCTTTGAAGGAGGTGCCCCTGGCTCCCTGACACCCGCAGCTGTGACCCAGCCTCAGTTTTGCCCTCTGTAAAATGAGGACTTGAGAGGATCCAAAGAGCCTGGGAGGCAATAATCGGCACATGAAAAGTGGTGCCAGGGACCCTAGAGACAGATTTCCCCTCGCTGGACCTCAGTTTCCCTACCTGAGAAATGGGGCTATGGAGGGCTAGGGCTGTGGGAGGCACCCTCCCCAAGACATGCTGAAGCTCCACCCTTACCGATGCCTCCTCCCGGGAGGTGCTGGCAGCATTGGGAAGTAGACCCTGATGGTCGTCCCCAGATCCACGCCTGGACAGGGTGGGGCCACTCCACCCCCATTACCCGGCTGACGCAGCCGGCCCCTCCGGCCTTCCCAGAAAAGCGTGTAAATCCGAGAACAGACGTCAGTCCAGCTGTGAGGAAAGCGGGCTGTGTTCCTGGACCACCAAACCGGTAGAGACCCCCGCCCGCCCACAGTGAGCTCAGCCTCCCGACTGAGCCCCATCCCCGAGTCCTGCCCCTCTCTTGCAGAACAGCCGGGTGGGGAGTGCAAGGGGCCACAGGCACGAAGGACCCGTCATCGTCCACGCGCCCATGGGACGCCCTTCCAGCGCCCCAGCCCCAAGCGCTCGCGTCCTGTTTCCGCAGATTCGTGCGACGGCGTGGAGTGCGGCCCAGGCAAGGCGTGCCGCATGTTGGGGGGCCGCCCGCGCTGCGAGTGCGCGCCAGACTGCACCGGGCTCCCGGCGCGCCTGCAAGTCTGTGGCTCGGACGGCGCCACCTACCGCGACGAGTGTGAGCTGCGCGCCGCCCGCTGCCGCGGTCACCCGGACCTGCGCGTCATGTACCGGGGCCGCTGCCGCAGTATGTGGGGAGCGGGGCGGGTCGGGGAAGGGTGGGGCCCCCGGCCCAAGGTCTTGTACCCCGGCCGCTGCCGCAGTACATGGTGGTGGGGCGTCTCCAGCCCAGTCACGTGGATTGGGACGGGGCTAGTGGTGAGCGGGGTCTGGGTATCCTGCTCATGGAACCGAGATCTAAGGGACACTTTATTTTCCCGAGAGTGTGTCACTGGATTGGGTATTGTTGGGTGGGAACTAAGGAGGGGTCTGTAATGAGGAAAAGTGGGCTGGGATTTGGAAAGGGGGCGTTTGGTGGTCACATAGTGTAGAGAAAATGTGGCATGGTCGTAATGGAAGCGTAGTCAGAGGGTGGGGCTTGATGCTGGAACTAGGGGGCGGGGTTGATGGAAGGGGTGTGGCTCCTGCTGCAACAGAAGGCCCGGGGCTTATGGATGTACTGGGGAAGAGGAGGTGGGGCTCCCGCCTAGGAAGAGGTTTGTGGACCCAACTCTCGAGCTCCCTAAGCTCGGCGGTCGAGGCTCCTGAGCGGGGTCCTCGCGCGGTGCCCCCTGACCAGCTTCTGGCGCCTGCCCGCAGAGTCCTGCGCGTACGTGGTGTGCCCGCGGCCGCAGTCGTGCGTGGTGGACCAGACGGGTAGCGCTCACTGCGTGGTGTGTCGCGCGGCTCCTTGCCCCGTGCCCTCCAGCGCCGGCCAGGAGCTCTGCGGCAACAACAACGTCACCTACATTTCCTCGTGCCATCTGCGCCAGGCAACCTGCTTCCTAGGCCGCTCCATTGGCGTGCGCCACCCGGGCAGCTGCACAGGTGCGGGCGCAGGGCTGAGGCTCAGGCCTGTCCTAGGGGCCCAGAGTTCCCTGCTCTGCACCCTCAACGCTCTGACCATACTTTCCACACTTGCAGGCCCGCCTGAAGAGCTGCCAGATGCTGAGTCGGAGGAGGAGGAGGAAAACTTCGTGTGAGCTGCAGGGGGCCTGGGCCTGGCGTCTGAGGTCGTTTCTGCTTTATTTATTGCCACAGCAGAATCTAATTTATGTCCCAGGGACAATCCCCAGTGCCTGGACTGGGATCTCTTGGGGATCCTGGAAGGACTGAGGGAACGAGGCTGGGAGCTGCGTTGATGGGTGGGATAGTACTCAGAGCCCTAGCACTGAGTATCCCCTTTAGGGGACTTCTGTGGGAAGTCCTAGCCCCTATACCAAGCATCCTACTGCCTGGGAGTACCCATACTTCTGTCCTTTGGGGATAAGCCCATTAATTATTACCACTACCAGGAAGACTGGGTACTCCCTGTTGGTAATTGATAAAGAGGCATGACTTGCTCTCCTTGCCCCTAGATGGGGCACCTCAGACTTAGGTCAAGAGGAGAGGGCGAGGTCTACCCTCAGAACACAGCAACCTTGGCCCAGTGGGACATGCCCTTCATAAATTCCAAGAAAGCAGCCACTGTTCCCTACAGCCCAGGAACTGTAGGTTCTTACCCTCTCATCACCTTCATTTCCCCTGTTTATGTCTCATGAAGGCCACTAAGAAATGCTTGGTGTGTCTCCTGTGAGAATGGCCATCTGTGCCTCCTGACATGGAATGATTCATGCCTCCTTGACTGCTGTCAAATGGGTTCAAGTGGCAACATCTCATGGCCTCAGATGTGGAGTAGCCAGCAGCAGTGCGGAACAGGGCACTGTATCCAGTGGTGCTCAGTCCACTTAGGGTGGGTTCTGGCCAGAATGCAGAGCCTCTACTCACCCCACTGGCCCAGGGTGGGTGTTTGTACAGCAAGACACACTGCACAAATGACATCCTGGAGCCAGTGTCCCTGCACATCCTGCCCCCTGCCTTCCATGGGGGAGATCAGACACAGGAGCCCTTGGTCCTGCACAGTCTGCTCCGGCCAGGCTTTGCACAGTTCCCAGCTAGACCCTCCTCACCCACCAGCCTGTCAGGTTGTGGCGATACCAGCCACATGCTGCTCTTGGGCCAATTCCCTCCAAACTGCTCACCCACAATGCAGTCTGATCTGACACTCAAATTTACCTACCTACTTGTGCCTGCATGTAGACCAAAGGCTAAGACTGGATATGGGACTGGGGGGCAACAAGGAAGACATCTAACTCCCCAGGTTTGGGGTGAGGACTCCAGAGGAGTTTTACTCATCCTCCTCTACCCCTCAAGTAGTGCCTTACCTGCAATGCCCAGAAAAGTGTCCTTGAGTAGGGGGTGTCCACCCAAGCCCCCAAACAAGGCAGCCTCCCCCACCCTGGGGTCCTGCCTCACCAAAGAAATAAAGACTGAAAAACCCATTTTGGGGTGTCTAGGCCTGAGTTCGTCTCCTAGGGTGCTGTTGGGGTGTTGGGTGGGGGTTCTGGAAGCACCCAGAGGAGAGCCACAAGTGGATGTCTTTGAGATAGTCATTGTCCTCCTCTAGGCCTCAATGTCCAACACTTGGCAGTGGTTAACAGCCAAAGATGAAAAAAAAAAAAAGGCCTTTAGGCCGGGCACAGTAGCTCACACCTATAATCCTAGCACTCTGGGAGGCCGAGACAGGTGGATTGCCTGAGCTGATGGGTTCGAGACCAGTCTGAGCAAGAGCAAACCCCCGTCTCTACTAAAAAGAAAAAACTGAGGCAAGAGGATCACTTGAGCCCAAGAGTTGGAGGTTGCTATGAATTATGACACCATGGCACTCTACCCAGGGTGACAGCTTGAGACTGTCACAAAAACAATACAAAACAAAACAAAAGGCCTTTAAGGGGTGTTTGGCAGAGGGGAAAACAAGAGGCTTGGTATCCAGAAGCAAAGGCCTGATCTTGAGGGATTAGGGTGCAATAGGAATAATAATGGTAATCACACCATTCTGACAGCCTCTGTCAATAACATCAGCAGGGACTTGTAGGGTACCCGTGCCATTCTAAACTTTTCAGAGGAATAGCAGAAGGCTTGATGGAGGTCAGGCCAAGCTGAGATTCCACAAGCGATGGGACAGCCCCATGCTGGTATCTCAACAGCCCCCTTTCTCCTGCTCAGGGAACTTGAAGCTCCTCAGCCTCAGTTTCCCTGTCTGTATGCTTATGATGTGGTTAGCTGGTGGGTGGTGGAGGATGGGCACCCCAGGCAGGGGATGCTGCAGGGGCAAAGGCTAATGGCTGCCTGGAGTGTAGGTTAAGTAGGGGGTGTCCACCCAAGCCCCCAGACAAGGCATCCGTGGGGTTGTGAGGGGGGGCACAAATCCAGGGAATTCATGGTAGAGGTGTGGGAGAGTGAAGAGGGGCTGGAGGAAGGAGATGTGGAGAGGAATGTGAGTGTACCCTGAAGCTGCCAGAGGTAAGGCTGGCATCCATAGTCCCTGTGAGCTGGTTAACATTTTACTTGGTTCAATTCTGATCTTTTCATTTGGAAGGTATTCCCCACTCCTCCCCCTACAGCCTGCATACCAGGCTTCCCCACAGACCCCCTGCCACATCAGCCAAGGAATAGTCCAGGCCCAGAACTGCCACCTGATCTGCATATCCAGCAAGACTATGGGTTTAGGCAGCTCCTGGTAGGGGCCTGGCAGTCCCAGGCACAGGGGTGGGCTGGGGGCTGCCTCACCGAACCACATTCCAGATCCAGGCCACAAAGGCAGACACCTGTGTGTACACATCTGGGGTCTTGGGGTCGCCACACCAGAGGCCTGAGAAGGAGACAAGGCCATGGGCCCGGTTCCTGCACACCAGAGGCCCCCCAGAGTCTGCCTGGAGTGAAGGAAAAAAAAAATGGTTAGGGGCCCTTCTCTGGGGTTACTTTCCCAGAGGAGCTTCTACAGGTAAATCAAATCACAACCCTCCCTGCCTCAAAATACCTGGCTCCCTGGTGCTCTTAAAGCAAAAACTAATCTTACCTCTGCCTATCAGTCCCTGAGAATCCAGCCTGCACCCACTTCTGCTCTGTTCTCCTAACTCTCTTGGTTCCAGCCCAGGGACCTGTTACTGCCCTCTACTGGATACTGCTTGTATATACAAGGCTGCACTGTACACCCTGCAGAGCTGTATACAGCTGACCTTTGACCACTCTCTCTGCCTGGCATGCCTTTCCTCACATCTTCCCAGGATTCCTTCATGTCTCAACTTAAAGATGCTCTCTCCAGAGAGGGCTCCATGAATACCCACCCTAGAACCCCTGACTCCCTGTCCCACCATCCTAACTGCCATCTGGAATTGGCTCTGACCCTACCAAGTAAGGTGAGAAAAAATTACTGGCTGTAATCTTTTCTTTTTTTCTTCCTTTCCTTCCCCTTCCCTTTTTTTTTGTTTGTTTTTTGAAACAGAGTCTCATTCTGTTGTCCTGGGTTGAGTGCTGTGGCATCATTGTACCTCACAGCAACCTCAAACTCAAGCTCAAGCAATCCTCCTGCCTCAGCCTCCTAAGTAGCTGGGACTAGAGCTGCCCACCACAACACCCAGCTAGTTTTTCTATTTTCTGTAGAAATGGTATCTTGCTTTTGCTCAGGCTGAGCTCAAAGGATCTCCTACGTTGGCCTCCCAGAGTACTAGGATTATAGGCATGAACCACCGCACTGGGCCCCATGTCACTCTCTTGACTAAAACAAAAGGCACTGCAGGCTGAGTGTCTCCTTCAGCACCAGGGCCCAGTTCGTTCAACCAATGGGGTCTCTGGTGAAATAGCTGCTTCCTTTAGATCTGTTATTGCCCTCTACTGACCACTGTTTGTATAAATACATGAATCTGTGGCACTTTGTGCAGTGCCCAACTTGGACCCACACAGCTTAACATGGTTCCTCTATGTGATAAACTCCTTGCCTTTCTTGGGCTTCAGCTTCTCTATCTGGTCAAACATCAGTTGGATTCAGCTCCCAAGGCTCTGCCTGAGTCTCTTCTCTCTGTGAGCCTTGGTGCACCCATATAATAAGTGAGTGGGCCAGAAAGGATCTTACCGAGCAGAAGCCCCGCCTCTGGCGGTCCCCACTGTGGGTGCAGAGCATGGCAGACCTCAGCTGGCCCTTCCAGGAGCTGTTGCAGACATCCAGGCCCAGCACTCGGACCTCAGCCTCCATTAGCCCAGGCGGCTGCTCCTCAAAGTTCGACATGAAGCCCCATCCAGCCACCCAGCACCGTGACCCAGGCTTGGGTGACCTGGCACCTCTCTTTGGCAGCTTCAGCACCCCCACATGAGGGCCCAAGAGAGCAGAGCTGTTCAGCTGCAGGGAAAATGTGCATTCAGGGCAACTCCCTTCTCCTTTGCCACATACCCACCTTCCCCTGTTCCTGCCTCAGTTTACCTGTCTGTGACCACTGGTCATGGCCTGTGGGGAGAAATCATTGGCCCATCAGGCCTGTCCCAGCCTCCAGGCTGCCAGTCTCACCTCCTCAGCTGCCCAAAGAAGCTTTCAATCCCCATCTCCTTCCCTGCTTGAAAGCCCTCCCCTGGGATCCCTATTGCCCCAGGGACAAAGCCCCTAGGCCCCCCAACCTCAGCCCTCCCTCAACCAAAATGGTTTGCTGCCAGACCCTGGAGCCACCTTCACAACTTTGCTCCCCTGGCACTCCCGCCCAGAGCACCTTTCTTGTTCAGTCTTCAGATCTCAGCTTATATATCACATCCTCTGGAAGCCTTCCTAGATGCCTAGGCTATGACACAGCTGGTGCGCAATTAATGATTATAGAAAGAATGGGTTTGGGCAAGCAAGGTGGCTCATGCCTATAATCCTAGCACTCTGGGAGGCCAAGATGGGAGGATCACTTGAGCTCAGGAATTTGAGACCAGCCTGAGCAAGAGTAAGATCTTTTCTTTCTTTCTTTTTTTTTTTTTTTAGACAGTCTCACTATGTTGCCCTTGGTGGGGTGCTGTGGCCTCACAGTTCACAGCAACCTCAAACTCTTGGGCTTACACCAGTGTTTCTTAACCTTTGGGTCAAGACCCCTTCAGGGGGTGAATGACCCTTTGACAGGGGTCGCCTAAGACCATCCTGCATATCAGATATTTACATTACGATTCATAACAGTAGCAAAATTACAGTTATGAAGTAGCAACGAAAATAATTTTATGATTGGGGGTCACCACAACCTTGAGGAACTGTATTAAAGGATCATGGTAGCTCGGTGCCTATAGCTCAACTGGCTAAAGCGCCAGCCACATACACCTAAGGTGGCAGGTTCGAATCCCCAGCCCAGACCCGCCAAACAACAATGATGGCTGCAACCAAAAAATAGCCGGGCGT